GCACTTCTGCAGTAACCATAATTACTAGGCGTATTCACGTGGATCGCCGTAGAATTAGTTTTTTTTAGGTAGTGGTGAAGAAGGAGATGAAGACAATGAGGGTAATTCAGTAAACAAAGCCAGGCGGTTGCTGCCACAGCGAAAACGTGTGAAACGTTATGCCTATGCTGGTCTGGAACTGAGCCGAGAGCTCGAGGTCACTCCAGTTACTATCATCTTTTTCGATGACACTGTTGTGGAAGACCCTATGCTAACTTTCGCGATATGCAACGTGAGGGAATCAGAATGATCTTGTTTATTGCAGAGCTGGTACTCACCGAGCGAAATGGGAGAATTATGTCGTACGAAGAAGCATGCAGTGAATGTTGCAGTGGGCTCGTGTCGTCAAAATTATATCTTTTGCGATGGGAAAGTAGGTCGTCTTAATGATCATCTTTATTCTCCTCAAAGTATTAAATAGTTTTCTTCAGACTGAATTCTCAAAATCAAATGAAAAAAAATTAAAATTTCTGGGCAAAAGCAACGAAGACGCTAATTTGTAGCAAAATGTGGGTCGCTTCATGTCGTGCATGGATGGTGAACTTTTTGATGATCGTCTGGAAAGCTGCGTGCATGCATCACATTGTAAACGACGCACACGTATTCGCCGAAGCCTCATAAACGAAAGTGAGAGTTTGCAGAATCATTCACGCTGACTTACTTGTCGGCATGCTTGAGCGAGATGATGGCTTGAAGTTTACTCTGATGTGTGCTGTGTTTAGCTTGGCTTTAAGCACGCATACGGTGCAGTTTTTATACTCTTTTGGGCCCACACCTGGTTTGGACTGTTCTCGGTCTCTGCTTAGCATTCTACATCCTTCAAATCCATCTGGTTAATCACTGCCCTTCAGTAAATGTTGCCCGCTTGAATAAGAACAAAATCACTGGCAACACGCACCAGGCGGGCTGGTACGGTCAAGCGTTTTATCACTATTTCATGCTGTAGTGAGATTACTTAGAATGCCAGTAGCTGGAGTTTGTGGCTTACTGGAAAATCGTGACAGTTTGTGAAGCTATGAGGTGACCCGACAGACCGAAAGTTGCTGGTGCACGAAAGAGACCTTAGGAAGAGCAACAATCACTTATAAGCATTGCCTTTGTTGCGATAAAGACGAATATTACTAGCAACTATGTTATTAGTAATTGTGCAGATTTGTTTATCATGGGAACTACAGCCGGTGTGTACAGTAGATGTGAAGCGCAGAAGTCCAAAATGATATTTGTCCGGCTAGCTGAAATCTGCCCAGCGTATCTGTGAGAAAATGGCATGAACGAAAACTACTTTTACGCATTTTGGGTCAGTTTGACATGGCTAACCATCACGTAAAAATCCAGCAGCTTAGCAAACGTCCGGTAGGAAAAAATTGCCCACATCAAGTAACACTTGATGTTTCTAAGCATTCGAGCTTTTATACGAACAACGGATGTCTTCATAAAAGTATACTGAATCGCGAATTAGATGGATGCCAACAGTACTCCTACTGGAAGTGTCCCTGCTCATACACGAAAGATAAATTTCAAAGGTTCCTGTTACGTACAATCACATTCCCGGAAGATTTCATTTCCTGACGCAGCTATCTTTTGATAATGGTTTGACATTTTCGTACGCGTGATATAAATGTACACAGATGCTCATTTTACATGTACGGACTCAAACATATAAAGCAGATATTCTCGCAAAATTAGAGGACCCTACTTCACCCAGTTTCCAAGTTGGCATTTTGCCGGCTGTTGCGAAATCGCAATTTTGACGGCCATACACATTACGTACGCGTGCGTTCGAATTAAATTTAAAATCTCAAAGGAGGGTGCAGAATGTCCCTGTTAAATTTCTTTCTATATTGGCTGGTTTCGGGAGTCGCTTTTTCGCCAAAAAATTGCATATTTTTAAGGAAACAAAAACCGCACACACGGTTAAGCCAAAGCTTACACCGCACATACGGTTAAGCCAAAGTTCGCAGCCGGCATTATGCAAAATTGAAGATTAGCTAGAAAACAACAGATGAAATTTTTTGAGAATATTTATCGTCCATTTGGAAAAGCGATGCCTAAACTGAGCTTCAATTTGCACTTGCACTAGGACCTAGCGCATTTCAAAGCTATTTGTAACGAAGTTCTGTTTGCTTATCGAATATGCTGTGGAGCTGATACTTTGTAGGGGTATTCTGTATTTACATGTGGTCTTAATCCAGCTTAGTGGTGAATCCCCTGCCCCCCTCGCCTCTCCCAGACGTGACAAATAGCTTTATGGCAAACTCAAAAGCGAGTACATTTTGCGGATTTCGTAGTCCTCTTCCGACTTCCTTTAAATTTGTTTTTCCGATGAACGACTGTTCGCGGCTCAGTGGTGCAACATTATTATCCAAGGCAGCGCTTTTTTCCCTCTGCATGCATAAAATCACCAAAACATACAGTTTAACACGTGGGCACGTGTTTGGATATGTTAATCTACCGGGCTGTTAATAATCTACCGGGCTGTTAATAATCTAGCCGTTGCAAGTCTAGCGCAAAAACACATGATCTCACCGGCTAGTTTGGTGCGTTCCAGTCTGGATTGCATTTGCACAGGTGTGAGAAAATGCATAATGAGCACCGTTTTCCCTTCGGAAAACGTATGACGTTTTCCAAAAACGCATAACCAGCATCGTTTTTTAACCGCGATTTTACATTTGTGCGGATGTGAAACGAGTCGTGGTGAAAGGTTTTGCGTATTTGTATGTGTATATGTATATGTACATGCACTTTTCTGCTTTTGTCTGTGTACGCGTACTAATGTGTTTGTGTATATGTGTGCTTGACAATTTTTTTTTATTCCACGATCAGACAGCCTAAAAGAAACTGAGAATTTGGAATCTTACTTCTACATATCAAATCCATGCCTCTCCATTTCTTCCACTGTCCAGGAAAACAGCGCCATATATTCGCTGATTTTAGCAGCAGCAGTGTTGTTCGATTGCTCGCATCGCGCAGATGGGGCTTATGCACTTGGATGTTCCAGCAAATTCGCACACTGTTCGCAAGGGCAGAAGCATACATTTGTCTGTCAGGATGGGCTCATTTTTGATGGCGATGCACAACAATGCAAGGCGGCTGATTTCGTGCCGAACTGTAGGGCAGTTGATAATTCTGCGTCACAACGCCGAACTTTTATTGGTAATTCATTACTTGAAAATACGTTCCGTACATTTTCTTAGTTAGTGCGATATGGTGACCATCCATTTTTGGCCGTGGCGCGACTCCTTTCCACCTTAGTCTCAGTGTGCGTCCCTTCCAGCTGCTCCATATATTCACTTGCCAGATGCGAGGTATTCGCATTCTGGGTGCAGTTGTCACTTTCTGCTGTGCTTATCCAGTAAAGTACTTTTGCAAAAGGGCTTTACTATGATGTAAGCAAACAGCGCTGTGACCATTACGGAAATGTAAAGTCATACACCGCTCATACACAGACAGCGCATCACGGTGCCGGCGACAAGGGTAAGTTTTCCCCAGACTGCATCATACACTTATAATTCGTGGATGCGTACTTTATGTGCAGGATGGTTTGTTAGGATGCTGGTATTTTCACTGCTCTAACCTTATGCGTTTTACACACGCTTACAGTGCGTTATATCCCTTAACAGTATTTACAGTTAAGGAATGTAACGCAGACTGCATCTTGCAATTGATCTTTTGTCTCTTATTCTATTATTTCTGATAAACCCTTCAGGAAAAGCAAAAATAACTCCAGTGAGTGTCGTCCATGAGGTACCTACGGTGATGCCGGATTTGTTGTGCTCGATTGATGGCTTCGTTACTCTTGGCTGTTCACCGTCATTCATTGAATGTGATAGCGGTATTGCGTACATGCGGTATTGCGGTAGCGGGCTTGTTTTTGACCAGGTGCTTAGTTGTTTCTGCATCAGTGGGGCAGCAAATTTCAAACTTATCGACTCATCATTTGTTGCAGGTTAAAAATTCTTGTAATAGTGCGGAAGCAGTAGCAGACTGTGCGAAGTCGCATTTCATTCAAGGGACAAAAGGAAGAAACGAGCCATTGAATTCTATGTCTTTTTTTGTAGCTTCAGGTAAAGAAAGGTCCATATCTTGAAGGAATTGGTTGGGAACTTAAAAGAGTAAAGATATTTACTGTCCAGAAATGTGTGTAAAGGTGTACAAAGGAGGAATCGTCGACGATGAAAAAGAACGGAACAGGGGATTTCTCAGATAAGGATGAAATAACGAAGGAGAAATGTGCGGTTAACATTTTTGGGTGGAAAGGAGGAATATTTTAATGGAAAAATACATGTGAAAGAAAAATGCAAAAAAGAAAATGAGTGAAAGAGGAATCTAAGGAAAATGAATATGATGCAGAAATGTAAAAAGGATTGAAGATGAAGTTAAAAAAGGAGTTGTACAGGCACAATATCGGCCAGGAGTATGTGGGTCCATCAAATGTTATCATTTAGGTGATTTGCGTCAACGAAAATCTGAATCAGCAGTGACATCGGATGTTTCTTATTTCGATTGCACCAGTGCTCGAGATGGAGTTCATGCTTTTCAGTGCTCATCCGTTTTTATCGTTTGTTCTGGTAAATCCATCTCTTCATAGTCGTAAGGGATCTTTTTGTGTAACTTTACTGTGCAGCGTTATAGCGCTGCTACAGTGGATAAAAACGCGTGCTATCGAGAAGCTCGCGGTGTGTGTGTATGTGGGCAAATGAACTTTGTCACCCACTTTAAACTCAGCGAGTAGGGAAGCGGGGAGGCTTTGCAAGGATATTCTGTACTCATGTTTGTGCTAAATGTAATGTGAAGGGTAATTTTTTGCAGAAGAGCATGAGAAATATTCAATTTTGTCGTAACCTCAAAAGCGAGTATTTTGGTGAGCGATCGCTCATTGGAAAATCGAACGGTATTCATGCAAAATTGGTAGATCCACGCACGGTATTCATGCAAATTGTAGATCCACGCGATATTCATGCAAATTGTAGATCCACGCAGCCACATGACGCAACACTCCCATTCTAACCGACGTACTCGCCCTTTTCCCGCTACATTCAAGAAAAGGCCAGAACAAAACCAGCGTAAGTCCACGTGCTAAACCGTAACGCAGGGGACATTTATGCTGTTGACGATCTGATTGCTGCAGGTTTAGTGCAAAAACGCATGATCACACTGGCAAGCCTAGTGCGTTGTAGCCTGGAGTTTTTTTGGCTCAGTTTACATGAACCATCTGCATAAACTCAATTGTGTAATGCACAAATTTTAGGTGGCAAGCTAACTGGATTTGTGTGTCAGGAAGGGTTAGTTTTCAATCTTGAAACAGGATTTTGCGATCAGCAAGAATACACTGCATCGTGTGGCGGTGCTCATCTCATTAAATCTCCCTCCAGCTTGTCACTGGATCAAAACAAACCTTCACCTGAAGCAAACTTCATTACCACACAACCTTCCTATCATTCAACGGGTGAGTGACACTTCACACCTTACTAGTATGGAGGGGCTCCTCATTTTTTAAATGCATTAATTCTGGATTACGCATTTAGCTCACGTCGGAAAGCGATGTCAAAAACGTTTCAATGGAGTCATATCCAAAGGGTGTGCAGCGGAATTCATTCTTTGTGCGCACGGTGTAGATCATATATTTACTTGTCAGCATGGTCTAGTATATAATATCGAACTGAATCGTTGCGATTATTCCGAAAATGTAGCTGCCTGTACTGGTCGAGCGTCGTACTCGCAAAGAACTTATGGTAACCATTCAGTCTGTTAGCTTACTTTCAGAAAGCAGCATCATTAAAATTTGGACATCACTGAGCAGTGCTTTGTCCTTAAGGAGGGTCACACTACGAAAATGGCTCAATCGCGAGTATCCGTATCGTGGATTTAAGAGCGGTCTCACCGTCCGACAGTGTGATGAAGGCACGTTGTAGTGCCGTACTAGCTGGATCTGCCGCGTATGGACCCTGTCGCATGGACTATATCACCTGTACAAAGGAAGGCACAGCTCATCAGGTTAGCTGCTGCACAGTTGCTGAATTAATGCCTTTTTGCACAATCTCTCATTCTTTTTGGCAGAAATGTATGTTCCTCCCACTGAAATTGTACTGTATTTTGGCGAGATTTTGCATTTTTATGCGTTTTTATGCGTTTTTTACAGCCATGCAATGACAAAAACGCGTATTGACGAGAGGTTGTTATGCGTTTTTTGCAGCCATGCAATGCGAAAGCGCATATTGACGAGAGGTTGTCTGTGTGTGTGTGTGTGTGTGTGCTTGCGTACGCGCAGGACT